TGTAGTGTATTGGAAGGGCAAGCATGGAATGAGAACACTGATGAGATTCCAGTTGTTTGTGAGTTTCCGGATGTTTTTCCGGAAGAATTGCCAGGAGAGTTAGTGGATTGCGAAATTGAGTTTACAATTGAAGTAGTCCTGGGAACTCAACCTATTTCTAAAACTCCGTACCGGATGTCACCAGCTGAGATGAGGGAATTGAAGATGCAGTTGCAAGACCTACTGGATAAGGGGTTTATCCGTCCGAGTGTCTCTCCATGGGGTGCATCGGTCCTGTTTGTGAAAAAGAAGGACGGAACACTCAGACTTTGTATTGATTACAGGGAACTTAATAAGGTAACAATTAAGAATAAGTACCCATTGTCGCGGATTGATGATTTGTTTGACCAGCTACAAGGGGCACAGGTCTTCTCAAAGATTAATTTACGGTCCGGGTACCACCAATTGAAGGTTAAAGCTGAGGATGTGGAGAAGACAGCTTTTCGAACTCGATATGGGCATTACGAATTTCTAGTTATGCCCTTTGGAGTTACTAACGCACAAACGACCTTCATAGATTTGATGAATCGCATCTTTAAGCCCTACTTAGATGAATTTGTGGTGGTCTTTATCGATGATATTCTTATTTACTCGGAGTCTACAAGAGCACATGAGGACCATCTTCGCTTAATTCTTCAAACCCTCTGAGAAAAGAAGTTATATGCAAAGCTCAAGAAATGTGAATTTTGGCTACATGAGGTGGCGTATTGGGGCATGTAATAACAAAGGAAGGAGTTTCTGTCGATCCACACAAGATTGAGGCAATCATGAATTGGCCAACTCCTACGAATGTGACCGAAGTACGTAGCTTTATGGGGTTAGCCGGATATTACAGGAGATTCGTTCAGAACTTCTCTAAGATTGTTGTACCACTCACACAGTTGACTAAAAAGGGAGTTGCATTTGAATGGTCAGAACCACGAGAATCTGCTTTCCAAGAATTAAAAATGAAGTTGACCACCGCTCCGGTCCTTACTCTACCGTCTGGTATTGAGGGTTTTGTGATTTACAGTGATGCTTCACATAAGGGACTTGGTTGTGTGCTTATGCAAAATGGAATAGTGATAGCCTATGCCTCCCGACAGCTTAAACCCCATGAGAAGATTTATCCCACACATGATCTAGAACTAGCTGCATTAGTTTTTGCTCTGAAAATATGGCGGCACTATCTTTATTGGACTACTTGCGAAGTTTATACCGATCATAAAAGCCTCAAATACCTTTTTACCCAAAAGGAACTGAATATGCGCCAGCGGTGGTGGTTGGAGCTTATTAAAGATTACGATTTGCAAATCCATTATCATCCTGGCAAAGCCAATGCGGTAGCAGATGCACTTAGCCGGAAAAATGTAGGGAATTTGACAAGTATACCGACGAAACAAAAGGAGTTGGTAAGTGAGCTGAATAAGATGGAGGTTGACTTGGTGATACATGGTCAGGAGGCAATAGTGGCAGCAGTGATGGCCCAACCGACATTACTTGAGGAGATTAAATTGCGCCAAATGAAAGATGGAGCTCTAAAGAAGATGCGTGATGAAATGGAGGCAAAATCGAAACCGGGGTTTACTTTGGTGGATTTTGTACTTATATTTCAAAACCGCGTATGTGTCCCTAATGTGCTAGAACTGAAACGAAAACTGATGGAAGAAGCACATGCCTCAAGGTTTTCAATGCATCCAGGAAGCACTAAAATGTACCGGAATCTGAAACAAACTTTCTGGTGGCCAAATATGAAAAAGGAGATTGCAGAATTCGTTGCTAAATGTTTACAAGGTCAGCAAGTAAAGGCAGAGCACCAGAGACCAGCGGGATTACTGCAACCCCTTCCGATTCCAGAATGGAAATGGGAACATCTAACCATGGATTTTGTTGTAGGCTTGCCACAGACTCCCCGAGGTATGAATTCTATATGGGTCATCGTAGACCGATTGACTAAATCTGCACACTTTCTGCCGGTGAAGACCCAGTACAATGCAGACAAACTCGCTGTAATTTACGTGAATGAAATTGTAAGACTCCATGGTGTTCCAGTCTCAATTGTGTCAGACAGAGATCCAAAGTTCATTTCAAGGTTCTGGCAAAGTCTACAAAGTGCAATGGGTACAGAATTAAAGTTTAGTACTGCCTTCCACCCTCAGAAAGATGGACAATCTGAGAGGACGATACAGACGTTAGAGGATATGCTCCGAATGTGTGTTTTGGATTTCCAAGAAAGTTGGGAAACCCACCTACCACTGATAGAGTTCGCATACAACAATAGTTACCATTCGAGTATTGAGACGGCACCTTATGAGGCTCTATATGGTAGACCGTGTCGTTCTCCCGTGTGTTGGGCTGAAATTGGAGATAGATCATTACTAGGGCCTGAAATTGTTCAGTTAACAACAGAGAAGGTCAAAATTATTCGGGAAAGATTGAAAACTGCTCAAAGCAGGCAGAAGAGTTATGCGGACAACCGACGAAGGGATTTGGAATTCGAGGTGGATGGTCATGTTTTTGTGAAAGTTACTCCGATGAAAGGACATCCGAGATTCGGAAAAAGGGGTAAGTTAACACCCCGATATGTTGGTTCCTTCCAAATTTTGGAAAAATTGGGTCCGGTAGCTTACCGAATTGCCCTTCCGCCAAGTATGAGTCAAGTACATAATGTGTTCCATGTCTCTATGCTGCGATGATATCTTCCAGATGCATCTCATGCCATAAATTACCACCAAATTATGTTGGATGACAAGTTAACTTATATAGAAAAACCAATTCGAATTCTAGACCGGCAAGTGAAACAGTTACGGAATTGAGAAATTCCAATGCAATTCCTTTCGGTTGGATAACAAACATGACAAATTTCCCGTCGATTTTTGGCTCAAGGCATCCGTTACGGTATCAGTTTTTCCTGGGTGGTACAAAATTTGCAAATCATAATCCTTGATTAACTCTAGCCATCGTCTCTACCTCATGTTCAATTCCTTTTGGGTGAAGAAGTATTTCAAGCTCTTATGGTCGGTGTACACCTCACAAGTCACCCCATACAAGTAGTGACGCCAGATTTTCAAAGCAAACACCACAGCTGCTAACTCAAGATCATGCATTGGGTAATTCTTTTCATGGGTCGAAGTTGTCTAGAAGCATAGGCAATCACCTTTCCGTTTTGCATTAATACACACCTCAAACCCCTGTAGGAAGCATCACTGTACACTTAAAACCCATCAATACCATTAGGCAAAGTTAAGATTGGTGCAGTCACGAACCTGGTTTTCAACTCTTGGAAAGCTGCCTCCCTTTGTTCATTCCAGTCAAATGGCACATTTTTCTGAGTTAACTAAGTCAATGGCACGGCCAGCTTGGAAAGTCTTTCACAAACCTCCGGTAGTAACCTGCAAGTCCCAGAAAACTTCAGATTTCTGTCACATTTGTCGGTCTAGGCCAATCCACGACAGCTTCAATTTTCTGAGGGTCAACAGAAACTCCATCCTTGTTGATTATATGTCCCAAAAATGCCACACTGTTAAGCCATAATTCACACTTGGACAATTTAGCATACAATTTCTTTTCTCTCAAAATCTGCAAGTTGGTTCTCATATGGTTCTCATGTTCTTCCTTGTCTTTAGAATGTATCAGAATATCATCGATAAACACGACAATGAATTCATCAAGATATTGTTTGAAAACCCTATTCATTAGGTCCATAGATGCCGCAGGTGCGTTTGTTACTCCAAAAGGCATTACCAGGAATTCATAGTGTCCATATCTAGTTCTGAATGCAGTTTTCTCTACATCTTCTGCTTTAACCTTTAACTGATGATGACTGGACCTAAGATCAATTTTAGAGAACACTTTAGCTCCTTGAAGTTGATCAAACAAATCGTATATTCGAGGTAAGGGATATTTGTTCTTAATAGTCACTTTGTTCAATTCTCGGTAGTCTATACACAACCTCAAGGACCTATCCTTCTTTTTGACAAACAAGACTGGAGCACCCCAAGGTGAGGTGCTCGGACGGATAAATTTCTTATCTAAGAGTTCCTGTAGTTGAGCTTTCAGTTCTTTCAGTTCAGAAGTTGACATCCTATATGGAGTCTTGAAATGGGCTGTGTTCCAGGTGTTACATCAATGGTGAATTCTATTTCCCTATCAATTAAGTCCCCAGGTAGATCATTCGGAAATACATCGGGAAATTCACAAGCAACAGGGACAGTTTCTACGGTAATTCCGTCAGATGATGCAGTCAGTATACAACACAAGTAACCCCTACATCCCTTCATAAGCAGTTTTACAGCCTTCATAGCCGAAATTAGATATGGGGGAGGAACTACTCCATTTACAGTAAAAGTAAATTCAGGCATACCCGGTGGTCTAAACACAACAGATTTACTTGCGCAATCAATGGTAGGACAGTATTTAGTCAACCAGTCCATTCCCAAAATACAATCAAAGTGGTCAATGTTCAAGGGTAATAAGTCAGCATATAATATCATATCGCCAATCATAATATCACATGCCGGATAAACATGAGTGCACATCATAGAATCCGCAGATGGCGTACATACAAATAACACATATGTCATAAGTTCTAATGGTCTAGTCAATTTTCGAGAGAAAGTATGCGATACAAAGGAATGTGTAGAACCATAATCTATCAATACGCATGCATCTTGAGAACATACAGAGAGTGTACCTGACACCACGGTATAGGTGTTTGGTACGTCACCGGGCACTAAGGCGAGCACTCGACCCTGTCTCAGAGGCTCTTTCCCAGTATTGGCCCTCGTATTCGTCTTGGATGCAGAAGCGGATCCGGCTGAGCTTACCGCTGGTTGGTTGGTATTTTCGAACCTGATAGGACAATCCTTCATCATATGACCAGTCTTTCCATATCTAAAACAGGCGCCCAAAGCTCGATAACAATCCCCCTTGTGTTTCCTACCACATTCCGAGCAAGTCGGTATAGTATCACTACTTTCGCTTTAGCTACTATAAGATCCTGTGTTTTGCCTTTTATTCCCAAAAAATGAACGACCCTTTTTGAAACTGTTTCCATATCTTTTCCCCGTCCAATCAGTTCGTGGGGCGAGGGTTTGTTTCTTCGCAGCTAGGATGGATTCTGCCATTAATGCCCTATCCAAAACGTTCACGTACGTGGGTAGGTTCAGGACTCCCACCCTATCCAGTATGTCCAGGTCCAACCCACCCTCAAACTTGCGGGCCTTCTTGTAGTCTGTGTCTACCATGTGAGGAGCAAACCTGGCCAGCTCAGTAAACTTAGCCTCGCACTTGGCTACAGACATTCTGCCTTGTTTGAGTTCCTGGAATTCTGAAACCTTCCGGTCTCGGAAGCACTGAGGAAAGTACTTATCATAGAAAATTGTATTGAATTGAGTCCATGTCATATTCTCGTGGCCATTTCGAACCAGTAACCACCACCTTCGGGCTTCTTCCTTCAGAGTATAGGTGGCTATGAGGACTTTCTGGACTTCAGAACAAGGGAACACCTCATACAGTTTCTCCATTTCCAGTAACCACGTCTTTGCTTTCAACGGTTCAATTCCACCATAGAATGTTGGCGGTTTCATTTTCATGAACTTCTGTGTCAAGCTGATGATGTCACCGGTACCCATTTCAACTTGAGCCAATAGGGGTGGAGGTGGTAAAGGTTGTTGCCTCAGTTGTTGCATCACCACTTCGGTTAAGGTTGCAAGCATTTGTTCCATTCTATTCATTCGGGCATCAGAGGACCCTGCTGTGTCATCATTCCTTGCATTGTCCATTTGCTATAGGTAAACAAAACTTTATGTATTCAAATTCACATGTTTATACTTGAACTTATGTTTTCACTTTCGAACAATACACATAAACATGCAGATGGAATGTCCCTACTTCTTACTAGGACTTCCTAAGCTCGTATGGACCTGTGTGTGCGGTAGAACTCGTGCTTTGATACAACTCTGTCACAATCCAAACCCACCCCTGTAGGTTTAGCACCGTAATCGGCCAGTAATCCGTGGATTACCCAAGGCCTCTGAACAGATTAATAATTAATAAGGGGCTGCGGAAGCAATTAAACCAAATAGACAAGGTCCAATGAGCTGTGATTACGCACATGGGACAGAAAATTTCAAAACTTATATATATACATAAGCATGCCAGTCAAGGACACCAATATTTACAAAAGGTTACATCCCAAGACCTGTCTTTACAAACACATACAGAGACTAGCATGAAAACAAAAAAAACAGCCATAGCATTAGGTTTCGACCAGAACCTCCTCGGGAGGCACAACAGTTGGCTGACAAAAACAGAATAGAAGGCCGTCAACTTCGGCCTTGGTCGCACGCCGGCTCACCTACATACTTAATATAAAATGTGAGCGAAAGCCCAGTGAATAATAATAGAGTAAAGGGTTTAATGAATGATGTCCATCACAGGATTAGAAATCAAATTCTTATCAGAAACACATTCATATAAATGTTCATTATCATTTCCACGTTCAGACTTCGCATATAATCATACGTGGTACATCCATTAGCGTTGACAAATCCGATGACCCATAAAGGGACGGCCTTAGAGGCATTCCGATGACTCATGTGCACAGAGACGTTTTTGATGACCCATGAAGGGACCTGATGACCCATAAAGGGACCTGATGGCCCATGAAGGAACCCATATCATATGAAGCTAATGATGCCACGAATAACTTTCAGAATCTTGGACAATCATTCATTCATTCAAAACATAGCATAGCATTTCAGAAGACTAATCATTTCATGTCATAATGTTCAGAAAAATATTTAACATTGAATATAACTTTACAAAGTTATTACTCACAGATGATTGGTAGCCCTAATTATATGGTAAGGCGGCCCTTCACTTGTTCCGAGGCGCGTGACCTACATGAATGCACACATACGAACACACACTTGAAACACACATTCGAATTGCACGTAACTTATGTCTTTGGCTCATAATGTGTTTCTAATCTCTTATCCTCATTATGGGGTCTTAAACATGGCCTAGGAATGCCTAGGATGCAATGAGGATGCAAAAATGCATTGGAAAACATTTCTCAAAATTTGCTAAAAATAGGGTTCACGCTCGAGCGTGGCTTTCCTCGCTCGAGCGGACATGCAGACAATGAAGCTTCGCTCGAGCGTGAATTTCCTCGCTCGAGCATACTGTAAACTCATGAAAAGTACTGGATGCGTGATTTTCACGCTCGACAAGTGCTCGACCTATGCTCGAGCGTGAGACTCAGAGTCTCGCTCGAGCGTGAATTCCCTCACTCGAGTAGACTGCAAAACACACAAACTTCTGGGTACACGCATTTCACGCTCGAGCGTGACTCTCGCCGCTCGAGCGGAAGTGCATGTACTCAGGCTTCACGCTCGAGCGTGAAAGTCCTCGCTCGAGCATGAAAGTCCTCGCTCGAGCGTGGGTCAAATTTTTGGAAAGTCCAAATTGACCTCCAAACATGAAACTCGACCTCCAACCATCCAAAACTCATTTTTCTGGACCAAATCTTTGGAAAACACTTAGTAACCCATAAAACAACATGTTTAAAGCTCCAATTCAAGAAATCATGGCCCAAGAGCAACCCAATTTGTGCAAAATCAACAGGAACTCCATGAATATGCTATGAATCCAACATGCAAGGACCCCCCTTGAATTCAAACCTTCCAAAACATAACCAAACTTAATAATTTGATGGACAACAAGTTGAATGACCACAATGTGAGTGAAATTAACACATGCATGGAAGAAACTCTTGAAATCATGTTCAAAATGTGAAGAAATGCACATGCATGCATGATTTAAGCCTCAATTCCACATTTTAAGCCAAACTAGACTCTAATCTACAATGTTGCCACGAATCAAGTAAGCTACAACTCAATATCATGATTAAGGAGATGAATTCACTACCTTAGGTTTGAATTCCAAGCTTAGTAGCCTAATCTTCCAAGTTGCCTTCAATCCCTCCAAATTCAAGCAAAATTCTAGATGATTCGATTTTGTTCTCTTATTCTCTCCCTCTCCTACGGTTTGATCTCCCATAGAAGGCTGATGAGAGATGCCTCTAAATGTAATAAGGTGTAATGAGGAGTGGTCTCAATTTAAGTCACTAAGTGGCATAAGTGTAATAATTCAAACTAGTGTAATTTAATGTTATTTAATCCAATTTAATCATACCAAATCAATTTTTAATTAAACCTACCATGAAACTCTATAAATCCTAATTAGCACATAACACAAGTCAATTTCTGATTCGAACGCCGATAAGGCTTTCAATTTTGCAGATCAAAGTTCAAACGAGAACAGATATTTCTACGTCTAACAGATATGAACAACAAGTCATGCAATCACACATGCAAATTAGATCCAAATCCTTCCTAAATTATTGTTAGGCGTAATTAAGCACGAATTACGTTAATCAGGGGTCGGGGTTATTACAGTCTTCCTCCCTTAAAAAGAGTTTGGTCCTCCAAACTCGAATTACCTTCATTCTGAGACAACATGGGGTCTAATGGAAACAAGTTCGGATATCTCTTCATCATGTCTTCCTCGGTTTCCCAGGTTGCATAGGTTCCTCCGTGGTTTTGCCAATCAACTTTTACCAACGGTATTTCTTTATTTCTCAACCTTTTGATCCGGTGATTCACAATCTGGATAGGTCTTTCCTCATAAGTGTAGTCATCTTTCAAAAGTACATGTGTCGGTTCGATGATGTGGAGTGGATCCCTCAAATATTCTCGAAGCATCGATACATGAAAGACGTTATGCATATGTTCCGTTACTGGAGGTAAGGGTACCCGATACGATACCGGATTGATCTTTTCGAGGACTTCATAAGGTCCAACATATCTTGGCGCCAATTTTCCTTTAACACCAAACCGAGTTTGACCCTTCATCGGGGTCACCTTTATAAACACATGGTCCACAACTTCATATTCCTTATCTCTTCTTCGGACATCAGCATAGCTTTTCTGCCGACTCTGTGCAGTTTTCAGGCGTTGCTGGATCAGTTTCACTTTCTCGGTTGTTTCTTGCACAAGTTCTGGTCCTAACAAAGGTCCACCACCTACTTCAGCCCAGCATATCGGAGAACGACATTTTCTTCCATACAAAGCTTCGTAAGGAGCCATTCCAATGCTTGAATGGTGACTGTTGTTGTACACAAATTCAGCTAAGGGCAAGTAGGTTTCCCAATTCCCCTGAAAGTTTAACACACACATTCTAAGCATATCCTCCAGAGTTTGGTTCGTTCGTTCCATTTGGCCATCTGTCTGTGGGTGATAGGCACTGCTCAGTCTCAATTCAGTCCCCAAAGCCTGTTGCAAACTCTGCCAAAATCTCGATACAAAACA